AATATCTATGATATTGGTATGTCAAACTCATACGAGCCATGCCATACAAAATACTGAACTGATTGCTAATTGAGCCCAGTGTTTAAACAAGCCAACTGAACAAATCTTCAACTTCAGCCTAAATCATACTCCAAACATTAAATACTTCTCTATTAATAATACTCCATTTGTCCTAATCTATACAAACACCGACATGCAGCTACTCAAATCCTTGGATGAAGTCAGTTATTATATAATAACCCAATAATATCAGTAGAGTAGCCGAGTCATATTCAACTTCAGTCTAAATCATACTCCAAACATTAAATACTTCTCTTTAATATAATAATACTCCATTTGTCGTAATCTATATAAACACCGACATGCAGGTACTCAAATCCTGGGCAATCCTGGGATGAAGTCAGTTATGATATAATAATCCAATAATAGCAGTAGAGAAGCCTAGTACTTTTGGCAAAACCACCCTCTTTCCAACATTTCATTTTAAAGCCTCGCTGTAATCTTTAAGCTTTGCCAAACTGCAAATTCTTATATAATTTGACTGTAATGTCCTAGATATTGGTGTTACGAGCTCAAGCTGGCTTCACAGAAAAGTCTACAGACCATTTTATCTACCAGAAATTCTTTTATCTTTAACTTTTATTTTGTGGTAAGAAGAGACGGTTTTGAGTGTTTTAAGTATGGTAGTAATGCAAAAGAAAACTATCTTGTGTCATGATACAGTGTTCGAAATACCTGTCTGCAGTCTGCAAACTGCAGATAGATTTCAAAGATTGCAGAAGAATAATTTATACAATCTGCAATTTTGCAGCAGGAAAAATTGGCACTTGGGATTTGGTGCTCTTGGCCCCAAGGACAGACAACACTTAAACAACAGGAGCTTCTTCACTAATTTACATCAACTTTGTCTTGACTTGTTTATCTTTTGTTTCCTTTTGGACTTTCAAAAATTTGTCTTCACTGATTTGCATATCAATCAATAGTTCATGCTTATAAACTTGCAAGATTGTAGTATAGAGGCTTGTGTATTTGCAGAAAGTATTTCCAAATTGCAGAACAAAATTTTGACTCTTCTGCAATATTGCAGAGCACTGAAATAAAGTATTTCGACCACTGTGATATCACGGTGGAGACGTCAACACGGAAACTGCAAAGATAAACCAGCCACAGGCATTCCAAGATTCATACAGTTTGATTGACACTTCCTGAAAACAGCTTCACACTGCCACAGCGGGACCTTCTGTCAGACTGATTGGATTCTGCCTAGCAACAAGCCGTCCCCACAGAACACCAATGGGAAATGTTGTATCACCAGTAAAACCCATTTGTTT